CGGACTAAGCGCACGCGCATCGTAATCTTTCAGTTTGTCTTTTTTTTCGATGTATTCATAAATCGTATCATTTATAATTATTTTCAAATATTTTACTCATCAAATACATTCGATTTGTGAAAATAAAAAAAAACTGATTATAATTATAATTAGTCAAAGATTTTTCTAGTAACTTGAAACAGATTACAAAATTACTAGGTTGGAAATTATTGAGGATACTTTACCAAGGAATTGGACGAGATTGCGGGAAGAGCGATAGGCAGTACACATGTTGTTGGTGTCAGTTTGCAACTTTATTTGAAAAGTGCAATACCAACCATTTTGTTGTTTATAGTGTAAGAATTTTAAGAACGCCTGCTGAATTGTGGAACAGGTTGTGTGAGTTGAAGTCCAGTGATGTTGTTGAACTCAAGCATCTTCAACATCTCCTTGGTCTCAGGATCGACCTCAATGATGTCGTGCTCCAAAGCAGAGACCTCAGGAACATAGTTGTCTCTGCGTTCCCTCTCTTCCTCCTGCAACTTGATGGAGATACCACGTACCTGACTGTGTCTAAGCCTCTTCATCAAGTGAGTGACAAACCTGACAATGGTAAAAATAATAATTCAATATTCAGTAATAATAATAATAAATAGAACAATCAACAGAATAACAAACAGAATAATCGAATATATTATTACTGAATATTTGATAAAAATATGATTATCTAAATCACTTAGTAAAAATATTTAAAACTATACATGCAATCAATATAGTTAAAGAATTTTTCAATACTATATTATAAAAAAAAAAAAAACTTCACACATACACACTATTATATTTCTTCATTTAACTTATTCATCAAACAATTCTATGCATTAATCACAAGAAGCTCCATTTCTTTAACTACATAAAACTTGTTAGAGGTTAATTAGCAAAACACAATAACATAAATCTTAACACATCAAAATTTCTTAAACAATGTAATATATTTACCCGGCAATCTTGTTGCGCAAAGATTTGCTAGGAATAATAGCGATTTCCTCACATATCCTCTTGTTCGTGTGGAAATCCAAAGTAAGGCGAGGATAGTATTTCTCGATAATCAGCTTCGCGGCCTTTTTGACCGTTTTCGTTCTGACACGACTCTGAAAATCGTAGAAAGACAGTATAAATTAACAGTCGCAATGCACAATTACATATATACATTTTGTTGTTTGCATTTATTGTGAATTGCACCACCAAAATATGAACATAACCTAAATTTAATGACACGAGATTTCGTTTTACAACGATTTTTGACCGATTAATATTTGCATTTCCGGGCAAAGTAAATACTCCATAAATCGAGCATGCATTAATTTTTGGCCAGTTATCGCGGATTTTTGCAACTTTGACGGATTAATATCAAAACGTATCATGATATACATACCATAGTTGGTTAGCTATCGGAGGGGAAATCGAAATGGAAGAGAACGCACTTTCGCGCGACACTAACGACGCCAAGCGATGCAACTGCAAACTAACTATAAAATATTAAGCTATGTTCAGCAAACTAGTATAACTAAAAAATGCATATATATATGTAAACTATTCAAACATTATTCAAGTTATTATTTGTTATCTAATGTGAATTTACATCACATATATAATTAATCCATTTTCTTATGCATTTTGTAATTATACAAATTTGTCCGAACATACCTTAATATTTTTTATAAGTTGGTAACTGTACCTCCAACTGTCGTCAGATCGCGCAAGTTACATTTCTTTTTACTTTGTTCTGTTTAGAGAAATAATTAGTACTTTGTATATATTTTTAATTGCTTATATTTCTTCTTGTGTTCTATAATATCTTACGCTTTATTTGTACGTTAATCAGTTATTGTAGTTGCTTCACTGAGTTGATCGTGTTGATCGTGAATTGCAGTTAGTTACGGAATCGCATCGCGATGCGCATATCGTATTCGAAATGCTGCGAATTTCCGCAATTATTATTATCTAAAAGTTAATCTCAAGTATGAAATTATTGTGTTGGAATTGAGATCGTTTAATGCAACTTCAATACCGGCGATTCGATTCTGTATGTTTGAAATGGTCTTCACATTTTTCAAGTTCTTTCGTCGAAGTACAGTGAAATGAATTCACAATCACTAGGTATGCTTGATATTATATTTTGTATCATTACTAACTGAACTGTGTGTGTTGTTGGTTATTTTATAATTATGATAATTGAAATGGTGTCAAATTTGTATTTCGTATATGCAAATTCAAGTCGTATATTTCCATGATTGTAGTGTACCGACGATAGGCAGTGAGGTTATGAATCGACATGCACATAGATAGAGCCCGTTTTATCATCTAAAGCAAACTTAGATTCAAAATACGAAAAATAATTTAAAAATTTATTTTAATTACAACTTAGGGTTATAATGGAGAGTAAAGTCATCAAGTCTTTTAAAATTTTACTCATATTTAGATATAAAGGTTATTTTGTACATAGAATTCATAGAATTTTTTATAACAAATTGTTAATAATAGAAAACGCATTGATTTTATTTTAAAGTTTTGTTACAAAATTTACTAAAGGTGTGCTACTATATTGATTTTAGCGTGGTACTTTTCCGACATCTAGTGGTGTAACGGGAACGATGGAATTCGAGTTAGATGTTACAGGTAAAATTTCCAATATTTGATTATTTCGATTCGACTTAAAAGTTAAAACTTTAGGAATGTATTTCTAATATATTATTTCTTGAAAAGTTAATTTTGTTAACATCTAAGTAAATTTATTTTCGACTCGTTATTTAGTTTACTTCTCAGAGATGGCGTTAATGCAAGCGTACGCCTACATATTCAATGTGCAGGCTTGAAATATTTTCTTGAAACATATCACGCATCTTATCGTGACATGAATATATTATTTTGCTTAAGCGCGACCTATACGAAATGATATACGTATTCGACAGCATACACATCTTACCGAAGGTCATTGATACAAAGAATTCGTGGAAAATAGGAATATAGCCGATGATAGAGTGTAGTGGTAGGGAGAAAAGCAGTGGTGGCAGCAGTGTGGCACGAAGCGTCACCGAGAGGGGAGACGAAGAAGGAGAGTACCGCGTCAGTGCGACAAGGATCGCGAGTGGGTCGCGTGAGCTGCGCGTGCGGGAGTGAGTGTGTCGAGCGGGAGGAAGAGGGCGAATCGGAATCGCGGTGTGGGAAGAGGCAAGGCGGTGAGTTTGTTTATCGCCCTGGTGAACGGCGAGAGCGCCAGTCAGTGCGCGGTGCTACGCTCGATGCGTTACACCTAGTGGCGGCAGTACGGGACGCGCGCGCGGTCGGGTAGCTGCTGTCGTGCACGAAATTCTACCGATCCGTCTTTCTCTCGCTCTCCCTCCTTTCATTCGCGCGAATAATAGCGCGAGTGCGCATCCGCATCGTTCTTTCCATCCGCTTTCAACGCACATGTTAGCGACAGCTTAAACACCTTTTGACTTCAACAGGGAACATCTGCGGTCGTGACGGAAGAACATGCCGCGGTGGACCGCCAAGAGATAGCGGACACCTCCCTTTGATATTGTGCGTGCTGATCGGGTGACGATCTCGTGTTGTCGAGCTCGTGGCGAGTGGACCCTCTTCCGGAAAATCTGTTGTCGACAGACTACGTGGAACCGGGCATTTATCATATCAGGTAAGTTCTCGCAACTCTTGTGTGCGTAAGTCGTATGATGCACATCGGGGTCACCGGACGTCACCTTTGACGCGATGTTGGCCGCCGTCCGCTTACGCCACGATAAATCTCCGTTCTGTCACTCGCAGTGCTTCACTTTGTTCTCTCCCCGTTTCGCGTTTAATGCCGTTTGATATTATCGCTGTTATTAATTTAAACGTCAAAAATGCAGCTGTGTGCTTGACTCCGAGGTTTAATCAAAATTTCGAAAATATTTCCCTTTCGCATGTATGCATAACCTAAAAATTCCAATTTCGAAGTTCTTATTAACTATTTAAAAAATTTTTTTTTTACACTTTCCTGAAGTGTTTTTTCCTTTCGTAACTTTTGATAGACAATATACTTGTTTCGTTTTAAATGGAAAAATGTATAAAAAGATAAAAAGGATATATATATGTGTCATATTTTCTGGGGTGCAACTATTACCTCCATGTGTTATATCGACAGCTTATGTCTCGCCTCTGGCGGCCTTCGTCTCCGTCAGCTGACATCCAGTATACCCCAACTAGTCCGTCAACGACTTTCTCCTCTGCGCGCGCGCGTGTTCGTCCTTCGCCGATTTCTTGCCGCGAGAGTAGTCATGCTATAAGACTCGCCCGTTCGAAGCGAGCGAGCGTTTTTAATTGGCGTTTATTCGAAATTTCTCCGTTGAAAGGTCGTGGCTCGATACGTTTCCCTCATGCATCTCTTTCGCTTTCGTCGAAAATCGAGGTCGGCCTTGACCGTTGGCTGGATCGCGCTTTCAGGAACTGCGGTGAAATGCTGTTAACGCAAGGTTATCGTTTCTTAATCTTAAGTTTATGTGATCACATGTCTTGCAAATGATCTTTCTTATCTCGTAACATTTTTACTACTTTCTTTATAGAGAAAATACGTTTCTATATTTTGATTCTTGCTGCTTGTAGAAATTATTACATAATTTTTTTTTATTTTGCTCTAATCATTGTTTTTTGTGTTTTATGAATATGGAATATTTAAGAAAAATTATAATAAGATATAAAACTTTTGACAATTTATTGTCATATTTTTAAATATTTGTTTTATCTTATATATTTCATTGATTTTTTTTTATTTTTGCGTGTTTCTAGTTGAATGAAAGAATCATTTATTACACGCTTCGTGATAAATTTCTTTGCGTGCGATAATGTACATATAATTATGTACATAAATTAAGATTTGCCTGTGATGAGTATATAATCTATATAGTATAAATTGAAATTACAACAAGTACTGAAGTGCCTCGTGGCTCTATCAGTCAAAATCTTTTATATCATTGAAGACTAAAATTATTAACATAAAATTTATTATAATCATTACTATATTAATATCTATTTAATAAATATCAGTAGTTTTCGACTCATATTATAATAAATGTCACGCACAGTGAAAAGGGCGCTTACATTGTTTCGTATACAAGGATTTCAATTATCCTACTTCATCTTTTATGATAAATGTACGAAATACAAGTCCAGCAATCTGTCAGTCGAGCAGCGAAGAAGTCGCACCGCTGAAAAATCGTCATCGATGCCGTATGCATGAAACGTTGCGCGCTAGATATATCGCGCGTTGCGCGAGTCGAGTTGCTGTCTCTCTGCGACGTGTCGCGAAATATGCGGGCATTAGAGGAGTCGTCGTACGAGCACCCTTCTTTCTCGGGTATCCCTTAAGCCCGTTTTACGCGATTCACTGGGGAATTCAGCGTAGAATTCCATCATTAATTCACGGGATTCACATTTATTCTAGAAGATTGATCGAAATTTCAAGCTAAAAATAATCAATGATTCAAAATCCGCAAATTTAATTATTATTATATATCAACTTATATTTATTAATTATTATATATCAACATATATCTCATTAATTATTGTTACGTATCAACCTATATAGAATAGGAATAGAATAGGACTTACATAAATATATCATCTGAAAATAGATAACAGTGACTATGTGAGAATTCTCCTGAATTCGATTACTATTTATGAATCGTATGAAAGAAGCCTTTCTACTTCGATCCGTGCCGTCGTGTAGCTCACGAGAATTTCCAGCATCGCTTTAATTGCATCTTCTTAATTCGCGCGCGAGCGCGCATACCGCGTATAACACGAGACACGTTAACGTAACATCCCCGTCATAACGCCGCTCGTAATACTGCGTAATTATGGTGCACGGCAGAGTATACTCTCGCAATCTAACTCCTTCGTGACATACACTCTGTCCTTGTCATCTTGACGCAAACGGGTCGCAGCTTCTTTTCCTCCCATCTTTTTTTCACACTTTTCTACTGCACCTATACGAAGGGCTGTAGCTTCGGTGGAAAATTACGTGTGAGTGTCGCGCACAGTAAACATTTCTTTTTGCGTTTAATACGTCGAGTAACCGCGAGAAAGTTTTCGGCTTACACTGTTTAAAACTTTATAGAATAGAAAGTCGAGGTCTATTGTAGGTTTTAATCGACGTCACTGAAAAATCGTGGAAGAAGATATATGATCTGTTAGACGAGTAAGAAAACACGATTTTTGTAAATTTATAACCGGCATTGTATAAACTTAATGAATGTTATTAAAGTAAATATATATATTTTTAGATGCATGGTTTTGCATTATTTTTAAATTTTTATAAAATAATTGCTTCTTAAGATTGCTGATAAGTATTTTTTCTTGTTATATTATACATATATAAATAAAGATTGAATAGGAGTCATGACCTTTTCTTAAGATAAACGAATCACGCGATGGCGGTTCAACATTTACCTTCTGGTGCGATTGATTGTGTTGATCATTCCAATTACC